TCAATTACATTCCAGAAGGGAGCAGTACAGCAGCTGAATTTCTGCCTCTTTGCTCGGGACAAACACAATGTTAATTGTGGTGAGAACCTATTTTGAAAAAGAAAAAAAGTGCAAGTTAGTATTGCTTCTGAAGCAATATGGAACCAAAAAGAAATGCCAGAATTTAGAGAGAGAAAAGGCGAACAAAGCTGAAAACAGTAACAGAAATTTTGCAAGAGAAAGTAATATTTGAAACAGATGGAAACCGTAAAAGAAATTAGGAAACACTTTGCAAATAAAAATTATATGTAAGTAACATCTAGAAGTTGAGAATGAACTAAAAGATGGTACTCAGACATAAATCTTTGTTGGAATAGTAGCTCTTGTTATGAATGACCACGGCTTACAATCTGTAGGACTTGCAAGGACTTATGAGGTGAAAACATGAGATGAACAGCAACCTGTCACAAACTAGATCTTCCAGAAAATGGTTGAGACCTATGTCCAAACTAGAACTTAGTCACAGAGGGGAATTGTAAGAAGCGTATCAAGAAGGGTAAAAATATCATGCCTAAAAGAAAATCAAAGCCTTACAGTCCAAAGAGGTGTTCAGCTGTCTTTTAGGTAAGCAGAAGACAAGAATCACTAGACTTGTTACACTAGTACAAATTTACTGTGGATAAGAGGAAAGTCAGACTATTCCAGATAATGTAATGTAAATGCCCACTAGAACTGCATCCAGATATACTTCCTGAGAAAATTCTGGTAACCATCTCCGTGGTCTGGCTCTGCAGAATTTAAGCCATGGAAGAGCATAAATTACCCTGCTCTAGCATCCATATTGACACTATGGAGTTAGCCATCAACTTGACCCAACAGCTTTAAGGAAAAAAGAAAAATAAGAAATCCCCCCAAAAATGGAAGCAGTAGGTATGCTATTCAGGCACACACAAATGCTAGTGATGACTTGTGAGATAAACTGACAGCAGACTTATTTTAAGCATTCAACTGATATTGGACTCTTAGATGTTAATCAGGAACATGAGATTAAGGGGGTGGGGAATGTACGCCTGAATGTCATTCTTGCTTCAAAGAACCAAAAGAAAAATCAGCTGCCGGTTGGGAAGACAGGAGGCAATTGCCATAGAGTTTAGAAATTCAGCTGTGAGTCTAATGTGCACAAGTGATCATAATCTAGCTCATGACATTATGAATGATTAAAAAATGATAGCTTGCTTTCATCAGAGGAAGGAAAAGAGCAATAGTGTCGCAATAAAGGCATGTGGTACAATTAAATACTGACATGCATGAAAAAAAATCTGGCTAGGAAAAGAATTTTTATGGGCTGGCCAAGGCACATATATACCTATAGTCATATACCTGTAAGAGTCTTTTTCCAATGACAGAAAGCAATTAATTTTAAAGGTCTGATGAAGCCCCCAACAAACCTGCCCCCCAAGAAGCTTCTCCCCAGGAAATTGTTATGCTATTGAGCGTGGAATAACTTCTGTGAAATTCATGGGAATTATTAAAGTAGACATGCTAAAAGGTTAGAGAATAGAGAACCCAAACTCCATCACCTAATTTGGCAAAAATGGAGGCGTAACCAGGAAAGGTGCATTCATCCAAGAACTGAAAAGCTGGGAATTAAGCAAGAAGTCTTGATAGACAAGTAGCACATGAGCTAATCATTTGCTTGAATTTGAGTATTGCTGATAGGTGCCTAATAAATGCTAGAAATTGTGTCTTAGAAAATGAACTTGTGGACACCCCCTTTCTAAAAGTAGTTCAGGTTTGTCTATGGTAAGCAATAGCTTTTAAAATTATATTTCTCTAGCGGTCAAGAGGTCTAGAGTGTTTTACATTCCTTCCTCAGGCAATGAAATATAAAAAAGGTTAAAACCTGCTTCAGGGTGATCTCATCTGCTGTTGTCAAAGAAATTATTTGTTGTTTCCCTTCAAATGTTTCTTATAAGCTACAAATAGTATAATTGAAAATCTGTGACACAATGTGAAAGAACAGATGCAGTAGACACTGATAAGAAAAAGAAGGGAGCATGAACTCACAGGGCTTCCTCTGAATTTCGTCCAATTAATGTCGAATGTAGAGTACTGAAATGGCCCAAGAGATTTAGTAATCATAACTGAGTTCTTAGATGCAAAGGCACAAACTACACTACACACCATAAAACTGGTAACAAAACTGAATGATACTGGTAAGCACAAATACCACTAAGGAAGAAGAAGGCATAACCAATCTTGCATAAAAATAAATCTGTGGAAAACATGTTTGTATTCATTAGCTATTGTTTTTGGTACCAAAGAAAGTGGAACTTTATTTTCTGGACTTGAGATTGGATGCCAGTGGAAATGGAGCCAAAAGAACAGGGTTAAAAAGTTACTACCACTATTACTGCAGTATCACCGACTTTGTGGCTATTTATGCATGGACGGAATAATAAATTTACTACTTGCAAAAGATTTGTGGCTTCTTTGTCTCTCTTTTAATCTGTTTTCTGTGTTGGTGTCTGGAAAATATATTGAACTGGAATTGAAGGACTTCCATGTTAACTGAAGGAACCAGCATGAAACTGAATCAAAGACAAAGATTGCCTCTTTATTGCCATTGAATCCTGTCACCCGGCAGTGCCGTCGCCCACCTTTGTAGAGAATACTCCATGGGAACCCGTTCCAAGTACCTGTTGTAAGGATCTCACCTTAGAGTCTAGAGAAAATGTGCAATGGCATCCTGAAATGGGAACAGCCAATAACTTGTGAGGTCCCACAGGCTGCTGGCCTGAATCTCTGTCCAGCTCAGAAGTTGACAATCAGCACTTGCTTGTAACTGAATAACTTCAAATTTTCCAGATTCTTTTCCAATAAAAACTAATTGCACTGAAACTAAAAGAGACTCCAGAGACTTACTATTGCCGTTATTATATTATTACGATATTGTTTATTTCTGTTAGACTTTGGAGCCTTAGTGAATTAGAAGCACAACAAGAATGTCTTAGCAAATCTGGAAAGCTCTATCTGAACTATAGGCTGAGAGAATAATTACTAAGTCCAACCACTTCAAGTATGACCAAGTACCACCATGTCCCCCACCACACCACTTGGTTTCCATTGGAAGAAACATTTGTATCAGGAAGGAGAGGAGATGGTATCCAATAGACACCACACACTCTCTCTGAACAGTGAGGGAATTAAATCAGTGATGTCATTGCCTTGAAGCTCACTGTCACATGTTCCAGTAATTCACAGAGCATCCACCAGCCTCTATCATTCAACATTTGATGTAACAAAATAATCACAGAAGGGGACCTAAGCTAGTTACTTTGGTGAAATGGTTCATAGAAGCAGAGACAAGCCTACATCTTGTCTTTGTTTACAACTTACTTATAGGATAGTAAAAGTTCAAAACTGATCCTTTTTATTTATTAGAAGTACATGATCTCTTAGAAAACTATGGCATTCCCAAAGTGAAGCAAAACAAATTCAGCCTGCTTGAACTGGACAAACCTAGCATAATCTAATCTTCAACAAGCTCCCACTGTTGTGAAGAAAAATTTAAGGAAAATATTTAAGTAAGTGAAGGGATATGTATGACAAAAGGCCACATGGGAAGACTTTAAAAAGAAGGTCTGATTTTATCAAATGGTCTAAGAAAATGCACTGAGGGGAAAAGCTGAGTTAATAATTTGGATGTTATGTATAAATTAAAACAGCCCATATGTAGAGAATGCATTAGTGTACATATGGAAATTCTAAATTCCTCATAAGGAGAACTAGTAGAATCTTCAAATTTTGGTTCTACCCAATAAACTGAGGTTTTATATTTTCTATGACTCGAATCTAAGTAGAGTAAAATGGTTTTCAACTTTCCCATAAAATCAAAACTTTCTGGATTCTTAAAAAAAAATTCAATCTTGTGAATCCATTTAAAAATATCTGGTTTTTGTTTTAATATTATTTTTACTTCACATATATTAAGAAACTGACTGCATTGTCTGGTTATCCATAAGAGTAAAGGTCTGATCCAATGGTCAGAGTTTACATTTACAATTTGTATTTTGAAGTAATAGAAAATTTTGAAAAGAAAGCATTCATACAATCAAAAATTATATTTTGGTTCAGTAATCTGTTATTGTATTTATTTCTGAAATGATAAGTTCTGTAGCAGAATGTTTTCCACATAGACATTTTTACTGAACTGAACTTGTTTACATTTTTAAACATTTTAAATACTCTCTTCATTTACTGCTTACTAAAAATTCTTGGAAAAAAGATTTTCTTCTTCCAGGCTGATAACATAGTTCTGAAAACTTCACTGGGAATGTCACTGAAATCCAAGACAGTCCTCGAGGGCTTAGAGAAAGGAGCTCCATCAGAAAGCTTGATGAGGCAGTGAATGAAAAAAACTCAGGAGTTATTTAGATTGGAGTAAAGTTTTTTTGAGTTGGCAAAGGGAAAATAGCCTGCTGCAGTCATGTCATCTGTAATTTGGTAAGTTATTTATTTTCTTTTAATCTCATTTGAAGTATCAACATTTCCAGTACATTAGTTTGATTGGCAGAGGTGTCGTATGAGTTGGGTTAAACTGCAGTAAAACTTTTCATTCCTAGCTGAGATGCTCCAAGTTCTGAAGGAGTTCCCCTCAGCTAAAAACTTCCATGCATTAGAAACATCGTCACATGCCTATTACCCCGTAACGTCACAACAAGTCAAAATGTCAGAGCAACAGGCAGAAACGTTCTTTAGTACATATGCCTGAGCCTGATCTCATCTTAATCTCACTGACTGTTCTGAAAGAAACCATCAATCATGAGAAATAATACTCAACTAAAAGAGTAAGAAGAATATTATGATTTTGAAAATAGCAGATAGGACAAAAGGTAGCTCATAGAAGACTGCAGGACCACACCACATCACTACAGGCAGAATTATCTTAAGATAATAGGAACTGTTTGAAATCTAACACTTCTGTGAACTGTACAGCTATTCCATATTTTTCATCTTACCATTTTGTATTCTTTCCAGCTTTTTTGAAAATCTAGACTCCCATCTTCTCTGTGCTGTATAACTGTCCATCCCCCTCCAGCAATTTCCATATTGCAAAAGACCTATACAATAATAAAACAAACAAACAAATACATAAACAAATAACCCCAAGCAAAAATCAATAAAACAAACTTGCATTGGAATCCCACCATCTTACAGGCAAAAAAAACATTAATGAATAAAGGAACTAGAGAAGCCTCTTTTCATATGGATTCATGCCCAATGTGCTTGAAGGTATTCTCAATTTCTTGATGACAGTCGGAGTCATCCCTATGTTCAGTGTAATTTCCCCAGTCATGTCTCCTTTCAGCACATTGCCCACGAACATCTCCCCATCATTCCCCCCTGCTTCCTCAGCTTTCCTCTTCACATTCCCTTCATGCTTTTTTTCTATTTTCTTTACAGTGTCCCTGAAAGGACTCCCTTCCTCTTACCAAATAATAGTATTTCTTTCAGTGATAGTGTTTCCCATAGATAGCTTCTAGCAGAATATCATTTTGTCTAAGAAACAATCTTCAGAAATTCTTAGAGAAAAATACCCATTCAAGGCATCCAAAATGTAGACAGATGAGATTATTCTAGTTTGCTTTGTATTGTACTGTATAATAATCAAAATGTATATTTAATTGTAATTCTTTTTGAACTCTTCTTACATCATCCTTTCAAAATTATAGAAGATAAGTTACAAAAAAATGCATATATTGCTTATCTATTAACTTTTCTTGGGAAGTGGTAGTATTAATTTCTGTATGACACTTTATTTTAAGATCTGACGAAGTTTCTTAGTGCTACTCATTCAAGCAAATTTTTCTGATTTTCATTCCAACGTACACATCTGTGCCATATCAGTACTGCAGCCGTCCTAAATTTCATTTCTCTGTGCTCTTGAATAGTTATATGCCTCTTTTTAAGTAAGATGTCAATATGTAAGAGGGTTGAAGAAGTGTCATCCATCAGCTTAGCTTTTGGCATTCACATCAAGAAAAGTCAATCTATTCAGCACCAGTTGGTAATTTCAAGCTTTAAGTTTTGCCAAATTGAAGGTTACTATTCAACTCAGTCAAATAAAAGTTTATCTCTCAGTTGACAAGAGATCTATATTCTACCCACAAGCTAAGTGGTTCCAAAATTTTCCTACTCATAAGCACTCTCATAATTCTGTGCAAGTGCTTTTGTTTCAATTTGCTCCAGGCATGTCAAGTGAAGTCCCTGAGTAGGTATAGGAAGGAAACGCAATACTGAACTGCGCAAACATGTGAACTTGATTTAGGGTAACCACAAGAAAACCCACAATTTGCTGGACAAATATTTTGGCCCTGTTCCTCCTTCAGGGAAGACACTCTGAGTCAAAACATTTATCTACAGGATTTAATTTCTTTAGTCTGATTTACAGTGAGAATTTCTAAATGAGGGATTTTATTTTCCTCATAAGTCATTTCAACCTCTCACGAATCCACTGCCAATTTTTAAAATATTAAAGCCTCAACTCTATTAAGATTATTCCTTTTAAAGAGACACACAAACAAATGATGGGGGTTTCACACTAAACTGTAATAAAACGCCTAAAAAAAGACTTTGATGGTTTCTGAATAATATAGCTAATTAAAAGAGAAAACTGCACAGTGGAAGAAAGATTTACCAGCAGCATTTTACACATTAGCCATCATTGTGTGGTCTGGCACTTTCCACGGTGGTAGACACAAACCCCTGCCGTATTAACAGGAGTGCCAAGCTGATTATAGATGTTCACTGTGCATGACTCTAGCCAACAAATGTCCTGGACTGGCTTCAGTCCCAGACAAAGTTAAGGCACTCAGTCATTAAACACCTTTTAACACGTTCTGATATTTAACCCTCTACCAGAAAAGAAAAGGATGCGGTAAAGAGACTTTTAGTTTGTACGCATCTCTAGATTTTATCGTCAGCAAAATAACCTGATTTAGAATAAAAAAGCATCCAAAGCGTTGCACTCTTGCCCTTCCTTAAATGTGTGGGTTGAAGTACTCAAGCTCAGAAAACAAATATATGAGACTGTTTATACACATTTTATCTTTGTGGACTAAATTATTATAAACTTAATAGTAATAATTTAGAGATGAAGACAATCTGAAAGTAAACAAAAGGAGGGAATTACCACATATTGTATTTTAAGTGCATGCACACTAAGACATCACAAGTCAATGCTGTTGTCATGGAGCAACAAGCTCCAGATCATCCATTTGAGATTCAGGCAATGTGTCTTTGCTATGTAGAAACTAAAACTGAAGGTAACATGCCAGAACAACAGTTTCCACAGTATGTGGGGCTAGCATACATTTAATGGGTTAAAATTCAGGCAGATATGTTTAGAGAGGCCATCAACACCAATTTGATAGGAAGGCCACAGGCAGAAAGGAGAGGGGAAGGAGTGAAGGCTGTACTCATGGCAATGTTAGCAAGTCCTTTGGCAGAGCCATGAAGACCCAGGTAGGCTGACCAACAAGCAATTAATAACATTACATTTTCAGTGCATTGCACTCAGAGATTCACACTTGTGAGGGCTTTAGAGGAGACAGTAAGTGTCTAATACACTGATGCAGGGGGAGATATGGAGGGTCTATGTGCATTCAGACCAGGCTCCCTGGTCTCCTTCAGCTCCTCAAGGTGATGTGGTTCCTTCAGCACCCAAATAGCAACAATCTCATTCCCATTGTTCCTCTGCTCCTCAGCAGCCTCTGCTTCCCCTGTAGCTGACCCCACCTCTGCAGGGGGCTGAGAAGACTTTTTTGCATTTGGTCTTACTACAGCCTAGGAAAAATCATTCTTAAATGCCACCAGATACTGTGAGCAAACACACATATCAAAGTAAGCTAATTAAATAGCTTAATATATTAAGTTTATCTTTTTTCTCTTCCCATCTCACAAATATAGGATATTATTAAGATCCTTCTAAACAGAAATGAATCACTATTTTTTGATTCAGGGCCAGAAGACTAGTGAATTAAACTCATGGACTATTGAAGATAAGAACATAAAAGAAAATTTACAATCTAAATTTGTAAGCATATAAAAATGAGGCATATGAATGGTACGCTGACGTAAACACAGACTATAATTTTCTACGAATATATGAAAGTAAAACCAGCAAAAAAAAAATAGAACTGACTGTATCATTTGTATATATAAAGAGATATTTTCTATTGAATGTCAGGATTCTAATAAGCATCACTCAGGAAATATAAATTGAAATGAAGGTATATTTTTGTGGTCTGAAATATAAAATTGCTACAAATGAGAAAGTTGCCAGTTACTGCAAGTATTACAGAAGGTAACAATATATTAGGGCGCTTAATATATATCGGAGCTGTGCATTGCATTGTGGCAATCCAGATAACTAAGCTGACTTTAAACAAGCAAGTATGTCTCCACAGAGTACCTATCAGGATATTAGCTTGGCTCCCAAAGCAATCTGTGTCAGTGTGGTGCTACCTCTGGGCTAATAAGTTCTGGGGCAGTGCTGATGTGATTTTGAAGCTATCTCGGTTGTAGTTCAAATATCTTTATACAGAACTACCTTGCAGACTGTTAATAAAACTTTAATGTCTGAAAAAAAAATCCATTGAAGCAATCACACTCCTCACTTGACTAACATGAATGTGTCGGGGATCAACTCTTGCTGGGTTTTCACTAGGGCAAGAGAGAAACAGGTGGTAGCAGAAATGGCCTCAACATACACACACCCCGACAGACACACACTCCCACATTTTCTTGCTAAAACTGGAAACCTCTACGAAGAAATAATGAAATTACATCAACTGAGTTGTTCTGCCTCTACTGATTGATAGCAATGTCTACAAAGAGAGATACAGCGGAAACACAGGCTGGCTTCCATGGTGTTACTGTCCTTGTATCGCCAGTGAAGTGTGTTTAAGGCATAGATACCACATCAGTGCCACAGTGCTTTAAGATAACCACTGGTTTTCATTGCAACCCAGCTTCTGGGGATGGTTTATGAGCTTTAATAAGGCTAAGAAATGCCACTGACAATTTTTGCATGCAGTTTGGACTGTGATGTTACATCTCTGTTTTGAGTGGAACGGCTCCTACAGAACTGCTTTTATTGTTCTTATTCTGTTCAGCAATGCTCCATATTTTATGTCATGTCAATTATTTTTCCATCCCCATTCTCTAGAGTTACATTGATCTTTGCCCATAGAACTCTCTCACCCAAATTCTGCTCATGGTCCAATGAACTCCAATTCCTTAGTAAACTATAATATCTCAACATTTATGGGCTTCCAAAGACCTGTAATAAAGTCAAATTCAGTTTAGAAATAAGTTTTACATATCTTAATGTCATTGTAAAATGACTACAGACAACAACATTCATAATAATTGTTATTGCCTTTTCCTGTTTGCAGGGTCACCATTTCACTGCAGCAAGAATAAATTCACCAGAGAGATGTGATTTATTCCCTCCTGTCTGGACCAGTTTCTGGGCATCACTGTATTTTCCTCTCCCAGATAATCAGGCCTTGGCTTTGTTGGGGGCTGCTTCCAATAGTGCCCTTTCAGTGGGACAACCAGTATTATTCCACATATAAGTTAGGTTTAGATTATTCTCTCATTTCTCTTACGTTTGTAGCTTCAGCTGACCCAAGTATCTTAGCAACAAAAGCCTGCCAAAAAAAACCAATCTTTCTAACAGACTAATGTTACATTTTCATCAAAAAAAATTCCCAAGGATCTTTTTTGAGGACAGGATTATACATGCTTCATTGTTTCTAATAGTGCTAATATCCAGCATGTTGTGTTCTTTACAGCCAAAACCACTCTTCCCTACTCCCTACAAGAAAGTAGGACTTTTGTAAATCTTTACCTTTAAAAACTGCTCATTTCGCTATTTCTTCCCCTGTGCTACCAGATAATCCCCTCCTCCATCAGCTTCCTCATTATGGCACTTTACTAATTCTCTTCTAAAATTTATCACAGATTTATTTGCAGCCATAGCCTGATTCAATTGAACTTGCCAAGTGGGAGAAATTGAGTCAACTATTGAGTGTATGTTGGAACCTAGGAAGGATCTCTGTCAGCAAGAAGAATGTCTGGAATAATACAGTTTATCATTTTCTTCACTCTATTATGTTTTTTTCAAGACTGAATATGGCCCAGGTTATTTGTACCAGGACAAGATTTTGCAGAATGAGAACTTCAATAAAGGCCCCAAAAGCTCCTTTAAGGCCATAGAAACATCATATTAATGAACAAAAAAATAAAACAAGTATTTACCTTTTTAGGATCTGACACGTTGTTAATATAAATAGTGTAGACCCCACTTTTGTTAAAACCAGATTGGTATACATCTGCACAATCTCTGAAAGGTTTTTCTTCTTCCTTTTTTGCATTCTTTAGTAAAACTGCAAAACAAACAAACAAAAAGTGATAAGTTACAACAGAAATCTTAAGCATCTCTGTATCAGGGCATTCCACCTCTGCACATTATATTCCTTCTAAACATGCACAATAATAACTGTACTATGGTCCTTACACAGTTAGAGCATTTGGTAGATTCTATTAAAGAACTAGTATGAAACTTTCAGATAGATGGCAAAGTAGGCACCAGCAGAAGTAAGTCATGATGTAAACAGCTAAACAAAGCATCCAGTCTGAAGAGAGGTGAACACAGTGCATTCCTTCTGAGCGCAAAGGTTTGTGCAGCTGCAGGTGTTGCTTCTGACTCAAGCTCTGTTTGGGAGGTTGCCAAAGAATGCCTCAGAGATGGTACATGGATGTGGAAAACTTTTTCAGTGTTTCGATCTGACACAGATGCTCGCTTAAGAGAGCAGCGCAGCACCCTGTAGAGAGAGAGCTTGTACCCTTCCTTCCTCCACGAGGTACTGCCTTTAACAGCCTAGAGGCTTTGGGCAAGGGAATCGTTTGTTTAAGTTTCTCCTTTTAGCAGAGAATTATTAAATGATTTTCATATCTACTTGTATAAAAATTGCTAGATGCAATTGGTGGAAGAAAAGAATCAAAAATAGCATTACTGAAGACAGTGGTTTAGTTATGATTTACTGAATTTATTTTTGGCTCAGAACAGAACAATTACTATTAGAACACCAGTGCAGATCTTGATCATGTATATTGAAGACAGACCATATATATGAGTCTGGGCTGAGAAATCAGAAGGGGAAGATGTTCGAAGATCCAAATCTTGAGCAACCAGGAGATTCCCCGTAGAAGGAGTAACATCTGAGTGTGTTCCTTCGTTTTCACAAACAAAAGTAGCATGACCCCACATGATACTGAAGGATATGACTTCATTCCAACAACACATACCTTAAGTACATCAGTATTCCCATGGAAATCCATCAGACTACTCAGATTCTTAAACATGTCCTTAAGTGCTGTACAGGGCCTGGGCCAGCACTTCATTAATCCCCACAATAAGGAAACAATGCTTAAGCCCTCCAGACACACTCATGGTCTGGTGACAGACACGTCTTTTCATTTTTGGCTTGAAAGTGTTAGTTATAGGTACAAAAGGCACTATGCCTTACTCACAAAGTGGCCTGTGCTGCAAAACTGATGCTTTAATGACAGTGGTGCACAAAAACGCAACAGCCTTGTGCAGCATGTGGGGCTATCCTGGCCAAAAGGAGGTGTGTGATAATGTTCAGGCTTTGCAGTTTGACACACTCTCTCCCCTCTGAACACCCAAAGCAGCATTTTAGGGTGGGAAGTTCTTGCCACATCAATTAGCATTAACATTATTTCACAGATGGGGAAAATGAGGAAGAGGAAGGTTAAATGCATTACCTCAGTGATTTTGTGAGAAAGTGAAAATGGAAAAATAGTGAGAAATCCAATCCTGAACTGTAAGATTATCCTGCTCTCTGGCTAGGCATTTAACACATATGTCATGTTCTTTCTTCCCTTTTATGTGTTACAACTTTTAAAAATTTTATTTTGACAAACAAAACCCCTTTAAGTCTCCCTTTCTATGTATTTGCTGCGTATTTATTACTTTTATCCAACACCATCAATAAAAATAAAACCTGGTTCATATGCTTGCATATGAACTTCAATTGAAAAATCAGTGGCCTTGAAACTTGGCCATATTTGGAAAAAGCAGTGTTGGCAACACAGTAGATGACACACTTCCCTGTGAGATGGCAGGAAATGAGGTCCTCAGCAAGGTACGCATCAACAGTGCACTCTCAAAGGTGTCATTTTTTAGATAAGGCATTGAATTGAGGCCTTCCCAATTTGTGTTAATTAAACATTTCATGGTACTTTTCTGTAAACAGAAGGTGTTAGTATCAGTGGCTAAAGTCCAACCTGAATCATTACTTGGGGCTGTAGCCAAAGCCTAGAGGAGTTAAAGCAAAGACTGTCACTGAATTCAAGGGGCTTTAGATTAGATCCATTCTTCTTGGCCTGAATTTCTCTAATGCTGTTGTTTCAACTGCAGACATCAGTCTCTCTTGCCTAGAAAATTGATTTAGATGTGCAGAGGCACAGTGTTCATTTCCTTGAGTTTAAAATTACTACATTTTAATACCTACATGTAGAGAGATTTAACAGTTATACACACATTGAAAACCACTTGGAAATAACTACTTAAGAATCAATCAAGAAAATTTGAATTTGGTTCCTTTTAACTGAAAGTTAGACCAAAAAGTCATGAGCTTATCCTAAAGTTCATCTTGTTTAAACTTTTAAAAAGCTGAGATTTTAATTTCAGAGTCCCTGCCCATGGCAGGGAGGTTGGATTAGGTGATCTCTAAGGTCTCTTCCAACCTAGGCCATTCTATGATTCTATGAGTAATTACAATTAGATTTGAAAATAATTTTCTAAGGTGGATCTCTAGAAAGCATACTTGGAAATACTTTGGTTTTTTTTTCCTCATTATTAGTGACTAGGAAAAAACCAAAACAATAAATCTTCTGTTGATTTAAGAGATGAAGATGACAAGAACAGATAGATGCCACAGATATGACCAGTTTCTTCCATCCTTCCTCTCAGTATCAAACAGCTGAAATGCCTGAGATCATAGACAGCAAATGTGTTAATTTCATATAGACTTAGCAACCCAATATCCTTCTTTTGCAGCAGTGGATTTTATTCAGTGAGCCACTTCAGCTAATAGAAGGTATCTTTCCTTGGGTGCCTCTCATCCCTCTCTCAGGAGTTGGCGCTCCCACTGGAAGAAAAGCTCAGCTCCTTGTGAAGGGGCTGAACTATTATAGATTACAGCTCAGTATATTAAGTATGACCAGTACAAAGTTTAGTTTTTCTTAGTACATCAGACTGTAATTTGCAAGAACAGCCTAAAGTTATCAGAAAATTTACTCAAGAATGTTACTGGTAATGTTCTTTCAGGGTAAAATATGGTTTTCCTAACATTTGCTGTTGTTTTTCTAACTTAATACTGCATACAACTTCCAAATCACTTCTACCTACTATAGCTCCAGACATTTTTTTTCTCTTTACATTACATAGACCTTGAATCCTTTATACATTAAGTGAAGTTCCTGAATAATGCATTTGTTCATACATGGCAGAAGTTTAAATAATTTTTTTAAAAAGTAACTACACTCAAAGAAAGTAGTTCTAAAACAAAATTGTAGCCATTACCCTCCTTCCTTTAGCTTCACAATCTTAATTGTCTTTACACAGATCTATAATGTTAGATTAGCTATTTTCAAATACAAGACTTATACCAAAGTTTTATGTACCTGATGAAAAGGTAAGTCTATGTCAACCAAAATAATATTATAATTCTTTAAACCTGAAAGCTTAACCAAAATTTGGACCCCTGAACGTTGTTTTTTGATTACCTTTTCTGGATGAATAAACTGGTGAAAAAATCATGCTTCTCTGAAGCAATGATGCGTATGTGGAAAATCTTACCTTCCTGAACAGGTGAATTAACAAGACAAATACATTCTTCTTCCACTGCATTTCCAAAAGCTTTTTCACAGAATCATGCAATCATAGAATGTTAGGTGTTGGAAGGGACCTCAAAAAATCATCTAGTCCAGCCCCCCTGCCAAAGAAGGCTCATCTACAATAGGTCACACTCCAGGTGACACATCCAGACAGGTTTTGAATGTTTCCAGAGAAGGCGACTCCACAACTTCTCTGGGCAGCCTGGTTAATTTTTAGCCCAACAACTTTCTTCTTGGGCTACGCTACCTCTGTTTTCCTACTTGATTGTCATGGTTTGAGCTAAACAGAACCAATGTGATTTTTACTTTTCAGCTCAGTCTCCTCTGAGAGGCTGCACTTTCGGAGTCAGCAGCATGTTTTTGCAGACAGTCTGCTACTAGCAGTGATAACATCTGATGTTTACAGTTACTGCCTGGGATGCAGAAAGGTCCTTGCTTATAATTGCTTCTGTAGTGACCAAGGCCAAGCTGGGGGTGCTGGTAAGTAAGAGGGGTCACAGGGAAGTAAAAGCTTGCACCTCTGGTGAGGAGCAGACAGGACAGGTGACCAACAAGAGTATTTCATCCCATACACATCATACTCAGTACAAAACTGAGGGATCCCATGGGTTAAGGTCTCTTCTAGAGAAGAGGTGTCCTAGGAGGACTCTTTCCGATCTTCTGCTTTTGATCCTGATCCTGAGTTCCCAAATCCAGATTCTGTGTCTGTTTCCCCTCCGCTGCTGAGCCTGGTGCTTCCCTGGTACTGTCTGCTCTGCAGTGTCAGTGGTGATTGCTACTGGGGGAAGAAGGAGTTCGATATTGGTTTTGTATATATTTGCACAGAGTTCATTATTTCTCTAATTTCCTTGTTAGTACTTTTATTGCTTTATTAAAGCTGTTTCAGTTTTCTTTTCCAATTTTTAAGTCTCTGCCTCATTCCCTTTCCCCTCCCATTTGGGAAGAGAGAGAGAGGTTAGAGAGCATCTGTCAGTGTTCAGTGGACAGCCCAGCCCTAACCCTTGATGTTGATGAATTATTTCTTTTAGTTATCAGTCTTTTGGCTATTTCTTTTCCTTGATGCCCTGGATGATGATGAGAGTCCACACAATACAGCAGGTACCATCTGTAACTTCCCAGAGCTCTATCAGATGGCTCCTTTCATGTAGAAGCAACAGCCCTGACAGCAGAAAGCCAGAGCTGGCATCTGAGATTGTGGCGTCTTCAGTTTTCTTAGAAAGGGTTACTGGCACTTGCAGGTGCCTTTTCACAGAATGATAAACTTAATGGATTGTGCCTCTGTGTGGTGTGAGACTATTTTTCTGGTATCAGTTATGAAATTAAGTCAATAGTAAATGAGTTTACTAGTTTCTAACAGCTATCACAAATGCTGTTTTTCTGCCCAGGTTTAAAGAAATACAAGCTGACTACTAAGAATAAATATCTTCTGAAATATTTAGTAATCTAAGTTCTCCTCTAGGAATATGAAATTTAAACCATAAAATACCTGGGTTTTTTTCTAGCTGTATGAAAATTATCTAATCTCATGTCTACTAAAAATAAAAGAAAAATAATAAAGTTGATTTTTTTCAATTGAGATTTCTGATTGTTCTTGAGAAAATTAAGTGGTTATCTCATTGCTTTTCAAGTCTCTGTCAGATATTTGGTGGATGAATTGTGTAATATTTCTGTAAGCAATAATGTAAAACTGTAGCTCATTATGTTGACTGAATCAATACAATCACATTCACATTTACTAAATTATTTATGATCTGAACTGCTATGTTTGTGAAATCAGTTGAGACTGAGTTAATCATTAGAATTTTATGTTCTTTAGTGATACTGCCAGCAAATGAAAAACAGCTGTTGGGTTTTTTGTATGATAGTGACTTATTTGCACAGATATGCAGAGATTTCTGTAGTGTCTCAGTGAAATATCATATTTACATTGTTTTAATGTTTCATTTACATTTATCTAATTTTCTTATATGACTTACTAACCACTATACATATCAAAAGACAGTTAAAAAGATTCTTCACGCTTTAGAAGCCAGAAAGGAAAAAGTCACTCTCCATACCTTATTGGCAAATAAAATTGAACTAAATTTTAGCTGCTCTGTCAAAATCATCTGAAGTGAAAAATTTCTGTCCCCAGA